GCTTCTTTTGATGTCAGCCTTTCTGTTTTCTTCCTCTTATGTTTGTAAGCTAAACTTCTAAGTGGAAATTAATGTTGACCCTCAGAGAAAATATTTTTCATTTCAAACAGGTCCAAAAGGGTTATTTCAAACGTTTCACATTTTCCCTTATTTTTGGAGGGGAAGATAAGCTGAGATTGTCTCTTTGTCGTGAATGGTTCTGATGTTGAAAACCAAGCAAATTCTGCAGGAAGGGAATGGAAGGGAAGGGAAAGGTCAGCAACAACCCCGAGCAGCTCTGCACGGTGCTCCTAAAGCCAACCCCGTTAACTTGGAGCTGGGGCAAGGCAAGAGCAGGGTGCATCAGAGGGTGCACCGTGAGGTTTGTGCTTCTCTGGAAATGATGGAGAAGCCAAAGAGGGGGACGGATCTGGCACACCTGGGACATGGCAAAGCAATGAAAGCAGGGAGCATAATTAAAGCTAAATTACCCAAGGCTTTATTTATTATTTGTGGACTGCACAGACACAAATAATAAAAAATGCAGCCTTTCAGCCAAAGCGCTTTCTGTCCAGAATAATGGCTTTTATTCTTGGACGGTTTACAAGTGATGAATAAAATCCAGGAAACCCAGCTTGCAGAATGACAGAGCAGTGCAGAAGAGAGGAACCACTGAAGTTCCACTGCTCTGTTCCACCACTCATTTCACGATCTGGCAAAAAAAATAATCCCTGTTGTTTCCCCACTTCTGCCTTCTCACTCCCTCACCAAACACAGAGAAGTCCCATATGACTATTTTGGGTCTGCTGGTGTTGATCCAGACACACAATCACTCAGTGGCACTGTAAACTTTGAGTTTTCATCTAACATACAGGTCAGGGGCATTCAAAATTTCCTACCTGCTTTGGTTTTCAAACATGTACCCAGCAAGTGATGTGAGAGCAGCCATCAGTGCCTAAAACCCACTGGGACGTGTCATAATTGAGAAAAGAACAATTCTTTTCTATTTTTTTTAATAAGAGAAATAAAAAAGGAAGTCGGAGCTATTGAAAACTGTGCTTTACCTATTAACGGTTGAAAATTGTCCAACTCATGACAAAAAGAAGATAGAACAGAGTGGGTGTTCAGTCTTGCTAAGTAATCATTACTACATTATTCTGGTTTTTATGATTAATTGCAAGATGATATTTCTGTATATGAATTTGTCCTCGTCTTTGTTCAAATATGGATTTTTGGATATGGAGAGAAGAAAAATTTTCCTTCCCTGCCTTGAAGAAGCCACAACTGGGAGAGTTTTTCTGCCTGGAAAAGGAATTGTGAAACAATCAGAGCAAATGGGGCTGGGCGAGCAGAGGTGCCTGGTGTAGCAGGGAGGTGCTGCTGACTGCTGGATTGGTGACTTCTGTTGTTTTGTGATATTATTTGGGAAACACTTCTTTATCATCCTGTTTCCCAGATGGTCCAAGCCTGGAAACATTCCTGGAGCATGTTCCTACCTCCCTTCCTTACCTAGGTGCCCCAAACACCAGCCAGCTCCATTCCTCTGCACTCTGGCTCCAACCTTTTGTGGTCTTTTGAAGCCCGCTGCAGAGGAATAACTGCTCTGCTCCTGCTAAATCACGTCACCCAGTGAAGGAGAGGAGATTCTTGGCAGACATTGCCATTTAGTTGTCATCGCGCCCTGCCTTTCCCCTGATATTTGCAGATGGGAAACTATTCAAAGGTGAATGAAAACGTTAGGCTTAAAGCTGCAAAATTGAAGACCTAGAAGTGTTATTACACATTCAGCTTGGCTGGAGGCTGGCCTGGAGGTGATGGCAGACCCAAAGGACCCCATCCTACAGAGCATTCGCAGATAAATATGTAATCCCAGGGCTAGGATCTTCCAGAGTTGTTCCCTCTTTACTGGCTTTCAAAGCCCAGCGAGTGCCAAGATCCTGTGGGGCTGGATCTCAGTGATCATTTCTAATTCTGCTGCAAAACAATTACTGCATATTTTTCCGTGAGAGTTTCTATAATTCAAGGCTGAGTCTGCAGTTGTGACAAAATCTCAGCACTCCTTTTTCTTTTCTTGCTGTTTTCTAGCTTTCTTGGTTGGAGACAAAAAATAATAATAATAAAAAAGCAATCTATTTGCCTTGGGTTTCTCAGGAATATAACTCCACCTCGATGCATGATCTTAAATTCAGTCTCCTGACTCAGGCTCAAACACATCAGGCTGCTGGATTTGTTATGTTTTAGATTATTAATGTGTTGGTTTGCACTCTAACTCCTTGAACTGCACCTTTTTTTTGGGGGGGGGATAAATCAGTCTCTCCCAAGGTAAAATCGCCAGCAGAACTGTGGGCCTGGGGAGGGGATAGCTTGTACCAGTGGGGTTAGAAGGTGAGGAGAGGGAGTGAGAGAAGAAGAAAACTAAATGTGAAGGAAAAGCAACAACACTGCCCGCCATCCCGAATGGATATGGCCCTGTTAACCCTTATCAATAATTGATGTCTCAGAACATGGATTTTCCATTATTCTGATGAGGCCAGCTCTGTTACAAATACGTTGTTTGGCACCTGAAATTAATTGAGCATTAAAAATTTACTCTTTTTATTTTCCGTTTTAAAGACAATCCCTCTGCATTTTCCCCCTCCGCTCATACTATTGAAGCATCTTAGAGTGGGCCCAATTTTCAGGTAATTGAGCATGAGAGAAAACCTGGAGAAAAGCTGTGAGCGCTCCTGGCATGGCAAGGGCTCCTCCAAGCCTGCTCTGGGCCCGTGTCCCTCAGCAATTCTCCTGCCTAATGGACATGTGCCTTCAAAATCAATCTTTTTTCTCCTTCCTGCCACCTAGACCATAAACCTACCTCCATCTCTCCCACTGCTTTTTCCTCCTTCTTCAGTTGGAAAGGTAAGGGAATACATGCAAATGAAGAGCACTCCTACCATGAAAGGGAACTGAAAGGGCTCAGAAAGCCCTCAGCATGGTCTCCAGCTTGGCATTATATAGGATGACACTAAGCATTGCTCAGTCCAGAGCATGGGATCAGGTGCGATGATCTGGGTTATCTCCTAATCCACATCTGCCAGTCAAAACAAAGCTTGGAAATGGGCAGATGCTGCATTATGCCACATTCTGAAGAGGTTGGATGTGAATTTGCACAAATAGTTTGGCAAAGCGTGTTTTTTTTTTTTTTTTTCTGGGAAACCACAGGGTTTCCCAGAAGGAAAGGTAGAAACCGTGTAGGATAAACCACAGCATCTTGTCCTTTCTGCATTGGTCCTTCTGTGACACTCAGCTAGCAGAGCCAACCACGGCTTGCAAACCATCGCAGCGTGCAGGTGTCCTTGCTTGGTCACTGCAGTACTTGATGCTGATGGAGAAGTGACACCAGCTGGGGACATACAGATGTGACAATGCCATGCAGCTCCAGGAGCCACAACCCACCGAGGAGGGGCTGCCCTTTGCTTTGCTGGTGACTTGCAGCTGGAAAAGCTGGGGGAGCTGTACCAGGCAGCTGGTGCATCCAGAGGGAACCAAGCACCAGGATCTGCGAGGCTGCTCTTTAAAATCCCAGCCATGCACTCTCTGCATGAAAATTAATCCTTGCTGAGGCCTCGTTGCCTGCTTCAAAAGTCTCATTTTGGTTTGGTTTCCTGTCAAGAGTGTAACTGCTTGAATTTATGCAGATTATGCACTCCTGCCAGGTGTTTGTTTTATATGCTTTTCTTCCCCCCTGCTACACTATGAAAGAAAAATTGGGTAATATTCGTTAATGAGGCAAGTGGGATATTCTGGGGCCCCTTTAACTTACTAGGAATAAAACATATTTTAAAAAAATTGCTGACCCTTTAAACCTCAACAGTTAGTTTATCTGAGGGACATGTTTCTTAGTCAGCAAAGGGTCTTTCCTGAAGGAGTTATTTGTAATTCATTAGTGCAGGGGTAATAGCCATTCTCCTAAATAATTCCAGCGCTTATAAAATACCATCTGGTATCAAGCACCGAGGGCCGTACGCTGTGTCGGTGTAAAACTGGACAGCTCCACTGCCTTGGATGAGTCCGGGTGGCCGTACATTCACCTGCCTCCTCTCCAAGGGCTCGTGTACCCAGCTTTACAGGAGCTCTCGCATCGCCTCCGTGAGCGCCGTGCTGACGTCTGCGATGGCTGCTGTGTGCTGGAGCACGAGGCTGGGCTGCAGAGGGAGTGAGCCCAGCTCCTGCAAGCTGGATTTATGGTGTTTGTGTTAGAGCAGGAGGCACGGGCCCTGAACCAGTGAATAAAACCTGCCAGGAAACAGAGTGTAAGAGGAAGAAATGAAAAGGTTTGATTTTGAAGCTTCTCTAACTTGAGGTTCGGTTTTATTCTCAAGTAGATGGCAGAGATGGATTTGCATGTGTTAAAGGAGATGTGCTGGGGCTATATTCCACTTTTTTTTTTCTCTCTCTATAAGGAAAGCAAGAGGCAAGAGATTTACAGGACACATCCAATGAAAAAAACACAGTTCATGTTAATCTAGCCAAATTAAAAGCACTTCCCACTCACAAATCCTCCTTACAGGATCTGAAACTGCTTTAAAGCCTCATGGATTTTTAAAGAGCAAATCCAGGCAACCAAAAAGATTGAGTTGGACCAGCCACCAACAGATGTGGACCTGGGACTTGTAACCCTGACAGTGCCAAACAGGCCCCTGAGGCTTCACAGGAACCAAATGCCCCAAACCTCTTTGCAGGGCTAGCCTTAGGCTTGCTGTATGCCAGCTGCTTTCAGGAATGGATAAAAAACAAAAACAAACATCCTTCTGCCTCTGGGTTTTCTCCATTTCCACTGGGTTCCAGGAATAGAAATCACCTCACCTTTTAGACAGGGATAACATTTGAACAACAAAAAAAACAAAAACAAAAAAACAAACAAACAAACAAAAAAAAAAGAGCAAGATGTCATCAGGGCTTTTGTCTATAGCATAAACCACAAAGCCAGTAAGGGCTCGGTGCCCTGAAAATTCAAAGAGCACGGAGGAGGCACTCGGCATTTTGCAGAACTGGGTCCTTTTCACTTTCCTGTGGGTATCAGACACCCAGCCCTGATCCATTTAACCTGCATCTGATCCTTCTCCAGTAATGAAGCAACAAAATTTGCAGGCAATTTGCAGTACAGGAGCCACCCAGCCCGTGCAACCCTCCCCAAACAGCACTGTACATCGCACACGTGCAAATCAAGAGCTTCAAACCAGATAATTTCAGTTAGGATTTCTACCCTGGATCTGTCCCTGAAAACTTCTGGCTGATGGATTAGTGCCTAGAGGGACAGCCTGCTTCATCCAGGAGTGCTCATCCCCACCAGCACCACGTGTGGTATTCCTGCCCCAGTTCACAGCAGGGCTGAAAAGGCTCCTGCTATCACAGCTTTTATTACTATTTTTGTTAAAGCCTTTTGTCCCACAGTCCTGTGACTGCTTGCAAGTTTTTAAGACTCAGAAAGGAACATGACGAACTCAAGCCCATTTTCTAAACCTGAGTGCTGAGCTGGCCTGGTTTGTGACTTGTGGAGCTCTCTCCTGTTGCCCAGACCAGGTCCCAAGTTGTGTCCCTGCCTTGTCCCCAAGCTGGGACATCTCCCACAGCTGGGCAATGACCAGCAGCTCGGATACAGCCAAAGGCACCTCAGGCTGGCGCAGGGCCCCGAGAACTGCTCTGGGGAAGGGAGATGGCAATGTAGGATGAGAAGGGAGGAGAAAATGCACAGATGAAATGCTCTGAGTTTCTGCAGCACCTAGCTCAAGTGAATTCTGATCCAAAATTAAGTTTCTTTATTAAAAACTATTAATGGTAATAAACAAGTTAGAGTGGGAAGAGGATGGAAGAAAGGCGAGCAGGAAGGAGCAACAGCATCAAGCAGGGGCAGTAAAATAAAGGCCCTTTCACGTACCATTGTCACCTGCCATAAAGCTTTGCAAACCTTGGAGATTTATCTGGGGCTTGCTCTTTCTCTGAAGCCTTTCAAGATGCTGATATTTGCAGAAGGTGCAGTGTAGCCACTGGATAAGGCAGAAGAATGAATCCATCACGGCTTTCCCCCTCGTCCCCTGACAGCTTCGAGTCATAAAACTTGGGGAAGGCACAGCTTTCCCTTTGAGACAGGCAGCCCGGAGACACGGTCAATATAGCTTTGTAGCCCATCACCATTAAGACAAGCTTATCAGCAGGGTGCCAGGAGTGCAGAGCACACCAGCTGACAGGAAAATCAAAGTTTCATTCTCTTTGCAATTCATATCTGGGCTACCCTGGCCTCCTGGCTGCAGCAGGCTCCCACCCTGACTTTCACACAGCACAGCACGTGTTCTGCCTAGCTGGGCACCTCTGATCTTACAAAGGTATCTTAGACACGGCCCTGTCCCACACAAACCCTGTCCCTCCACACAGAGATGATTTCATGCAGAAGCAAGACGACAGCCTGCTGCTGAGATCATGAAGCTGGAGGTGCATCAGAGGCTCTCTGAAACCAGCAGGTGAGGGCTCCCAGTGGTCATTTCGCCTTTTTGATCTGAGATGAAAGCCTGACCTACGTCAGGGCAGCTGAAAAAACAAGGCACGCAGAATGGCCCATGGCTGGTGCAGGCCCATGGAAGTGCTCAGGCTGCAGGATGGTGGCAAGGCCTCCTGGAAGAGGGGACAGGAGCTGGCCAGGCCTGCCAGGAGGCTGCCACATCCCCTCCCAGCTGAGGTATTTCTGGCCTTTCAGCTTTAAGCCAGGTACTTCTTGGCTAAAGTGGGGTACATGGTGCTGTGGCCATAGGGTCCTGCTCTTCCCTGAGCTCCTTCATGAGTCAGCAGCGGTAAAACTTCTGCAAAAACACAAGGATTGCTTTGCTTCATCTCTACGCCTCTTCACCAAGCAATTGGTACTACTTGAAATGTGTGGGGTTGGCAGTTATGAGACAATCTTGTTGGAAGACAAATTTCTTCCCTTGGTTGATTCCTTGTCCCTGGGGTGGTCCATCCCTGATCATGCAACTTCCCAGGGAAACACAGGGACGGAGAAATGCAGTGCAATGGGCACAGTGACATTAAGCTGCACTGGCAGAAGCACAAGTCAGAGACCACCAGCAGGAACAAAGCACCCATCAGAATTTAGACCATAAAGAAAAGGCAAAAAATATATCCTGAACAATAGCACCAAAGTCCCTGATAGCATTAGACCATCCAATAGCAGACAGAGGCACAAAGCCCTGGCTGTCCCCACCTCCCTCTCCCTTTAGTCCAAAGAATAGCAGCCTACATATAATAGATTTTATAGCATAGCTCCCTGCAAATGCACAAATGCAGCATTCCACCAAAAGGCCTCTTACAAGTTACCTTCCAGTAATTAAGAGGCTTTTACAGTAACACTGTGAATAAAAATAGGCATGATCAAAAATACTGTTCTTACACCCTGTCTGGCTTCATTGTGGCCTTACATGAACTTTTGTGGCTTGCTTGACCATTTTCTTTGTTCCCCTTGGAGCTCTCATGCTGGGCCATAAGGACTTGCCACGTGCTCTCACCCAGATCCGTGTACTCAGATGTGCCTTCACTGGAGCTGGTGGAGCTGCAAAGGAATAAATGGGGCCCAAAAAGGTGTCTATGTTTGCAACTTTTTTTTTTTTTCCTAGCTCTCCTGTTTCTTGCTTTTCTCTATTTCATAGAAACATTTCAGAGTGACAGCCAGAAATGGAAATGGCAAATGGTAACGTGAAGTTCTACACGCAGCTTTTGGGGCATAACGAACCTCCCCTGGCTTCCTGGTCTTTGCGATATCACTGCTGGAGTGCAGAGACCTTAATTTCCCCTGCACACAGCTGAAAATGTCTCAGCTCTTGGTTGAAATGTCAGGGCTCCATTACGTCCATAATCCAATATAAAACCTGAGGGCAACCACATGCCTCCTGCTTGTCTTTTCCTAGAGGGATGGGCCGCAAAGGCAGCTCCCCTTGGGAGCTGCTTCTCTGCACTGTCTGAGAGGGAGCAGACCCCCAGCACCACGGAGGGATGGACCTCGACCTGTCCTCATGGGGCTGTGTAAAGCTCCCTGGCCAGAACAAGTGAGTCAAGCTCCCTGCACCTTCCTTTGGGGGGGAACATCGCATCATCTGCTTGGGAGAGAGAAGCCATGGAGGAATAACGCAGCGTTTTTATAAGTGAGGTTTTCGCAAAGATGTATTATTCATTATGTAATAATTAACCACATTTATGGACACTGCCTCAGGAAGCCTGATCACGCAGAACCACAGCTGCACCATCCCACACAGCCGGCATCGCTCAGCATGGCCAAGGCAGAAAGCCAGCGTAAGTGCTGTGCAAACTGAAGCCAGAAGCTGTGAACACTGGGGCGACAGAGGCTCAGCCCTCAGGAAAGCCCCTTGTTTTAGTTTGAACATGGCTGGATCCCTCACTTCCCTGTGCTATGGCCATCAATTCTCTTAGCATCTCTTCTTTGCAGGGCTCAAGACACCACAGAACAAAGCACTGGCCCCTCCCCGCAGTCAGGGTCTGACCCTCCGTGGGTCCACCACATCTCAGGTCAATAGTTGGCATTTTCTGACAGCTATATTCCCTTCCTCAGGTATCACAGTGCCCATCACTGTATGGAGACCTACTTGTCCCCCTCCAGGCTCTGCAGTACTAAATCCTTCCTTAACAAAGGCAGTAAACCCCATCCAATTCCAACCCCCTGCTATGGGCAGGGACCCTTCCACCAACCCAGGCTGCCCAAAGCCCCTCCAGCACTGCCTGGGATGGGGTACCTACAGCTTCTCTGGGCAGCACGGGCCAGTGTCTTAATATCAAGGCAGAAAAGACCATAGCAGCTTCAGCAGGAGGTGGGAGAAGAAGCAAACTAAGAGCCTTGATTAAGGTGTCCAGAAGACCCCAGGGATCTGGGCTCAAGCCCCAGGCAGTCAAAGGCTCTGCTCTGCACATCCAAGCCAGTTGGACAGACCTTAGAAGAAACCTAAGAGATCTTAACCAAAATTGTCAGCACCCTGAACTCGTTCTGCTCTTCAAGAAGGAAGCAAATACAGTCATTGCTAGGAAGGTAAAAATATCAAAGCAGAAATGAGATCTTTGTTTCCTAAACTTTGTATTGCATACATATATATTCATGTTATATGCACAGTTTTGCACAGCAGTTGGCCCAGTCTTTTATGGAATTGTCTTTCTGTTTAGCAACGTGCTGAATCAACAAAGCTATTTCCCTTTCATATTTCTGTAATTAGCCTGTTTTAAACCCTTCAGCAGCTCTTCAGAAGGATGCTGATTATTTACAGTATGTGCAATTCAGATGTCACTGGATTATTAACCTTGGCTGTGTAGTCTTAAATGTCTGGATTAGTGGATATGAGTTCGTTTCCTCCATTTCAGGCTAGAAAAGAAAATTGGGCAAAAATGGCAAGATACACAGGTTAGAAAAGCCAGCTGTCTACTAGCACCTTGCACCCAGAAGGCACAAGGAGCAGGGCTATCAGCAGGAGCTCTGCTGCATCGAGAGTTTGGGGGTCTGGAGTTACAGCCCTAAAGCTGCCCTGGGGAATGGCTCTCTGGAAGAGCAGCACAGAATGGCACAAAACCAAGACCCTGCTGTCATCAGGGAAAGGGCTTAGAGGGAAGATAGAGATCCAAGTGGAGAGCAAAGCCATGCAGTGGCCTGGGAATTCCCTGGGCACTGCCCATGGCCATTCCTCCTACATCCACTCACAGCACCAGGAGCTGATTTCCAGCCCTTCCTCTGCTTCACTGCAGGATTTTGGGACAGCATCCTCCGCTTGCCTGTTCTTCATCCCCTTGCAAGCAGAAGAAGGGAATGTGCTCAGAAAATTCTGCAGAAGCAACAACTATCTGCTGCTCTGCAGGCAGCCCAGCTCTGAAACACAGCTGCTAAAGCAGCACTGGAGGCAGGGCATGTAGGACAGATCAGCCCCAGCTGCTCCCAGTCACATGAAGCATTAAAGTGGCTAAGAAAGGTAAGGAAGGGCTGTCCCAAACACCAGACCTGTGCAGAACAGGGCTTGGCAGGACCTCCTTGGGATTTCCTACCCCTTTTTGCAGCCATCTGAGCAATTTGCTCTTACTACAGAGGTGGAAATGAGCACTAAGAGGTGTCCCAGGCTCTGGGAAAGGCGAGTTAAGGGAGCACAGCCATTTCCATTCCCCTGGAGACAGTTATCAAAGGATTTCCATAGATGCTGAATGCACAGCTCAGGGAAGGGTGCTACGAGGTGATGGGAACCACAAACCTGGGGGTTTGGCATGTGCAGAAGTGAATAGAGGGGCAGCAGCAAGCATACATTTGTAAGTATTAATATAAACATAAACATCAGACTGACTTGAAAGCATGCAGTTCCCAATGCACTGGAAGTGTCAAAAAATGCCCTATGCTGCTTCAAAAATATTTCATTTTGATCCTTTTTAGACAGCTGTTTTTACAACAAAATTGAAGGGAGTGTTGAAATGGAAGGCTCCTTCACATGAAGCCTCCCCAAGGTTTTCAGCTCTGCATGGGTTTTTCTGTTTATTTTTGGATATTTTGCAGAAATAATTTTGCAAAAGTAACCCAAATGTGCAAGCATGTTCTGGCATTGCCACTCTGTGGTTTTTGCTAACAGTAATCCATTTTATTCTAGTGAGGAGCAATAGGAAGAGTTCCTGTCACTACAAAGGAAAAAATAAAAAACAGTTGAAAAAAATCTCCATGGAAGTCTCAGGAAACTCCCTTCAGCTCCAAACATGGTGAAGAAAATGCCGTCAGTGATTTTCCCCCCTTGTAATGAGGTTTGCAAAGGTTGACTTGCAAGGAATTAAAACATGGAAACATTTAAAATATCAGTGAGTTCTGGCATCCTAGGTAATGTGACATTTATATGATAATTTGGCAATTAAATATGCAAGCAAGGATGCTTTTCCTTTTCAAACATGCAGGTATGGCACTTTCACAAAACAGCTTCCAGCATTTTACAGGTTCACCTTCTGACTGGAGTGGAAAAATGTTATTTGCAATGTGTGGGTGGGGGATGCTTGTAGCAGCACCAGTCCACACCAACTCAGCAGCATCTCACAGCACACCACAGATCTGCCATGCAAATACCTCTTGGGGAGCTCCAGGTGGGAACCCTATGTCTTGTTCTTTGAGAATGGGGACACTTGGTCTTGACTATTGGAGAAAATAGCATGGTTTCAGAGCTGCTCGTGCAACCCAGCAGGGAGACCTTCAGTGCAGAATAAGCTTCCTCCAGCATCCCTAGATGAACAAGAGGAAACACCAGCTGAGGCACTGGCAGTCTGGATATGGGTTATATGTGCTCACAGAGAAGAGCCCCATAGCCTAACCTGGCATGGATCCCAACCGTATAACACCCAGAAGAACACAGGGTGAACATCACCCATCAACAGGGTCAGGTCCAGTTATCACCTGGGCTCCTCCTGGTAACTGATGCACCAGCTCAAACCCAAAATACCTGCAGAAGCAAACAAAAAGTCTTTCTCCAAGCTGCGTGCCTGCATGAGACCCCAGAAAGGTGCTGCTTGGTCTGTGCTGGGAATTGGCATTAGGTGAAGTAAAGTTCTCCCTTCAGCAGGGCCCTGAGCACCTCACCCCCCAACACCAACCGCATCCCTTCTGTGCATCGCAGCAACTCACTTCCTCTGCTAATGAATAATTTGGAGTTCTTCAGCCATTATTTAATAATAACGGATCTTTTCCTTGCAGAAATAATTGAATATTGGAGCTGGGAAATTGAGGTCACCCTCAGCTCTGCCCCCTTTGACAATGCTGCTCCCACCAAGGCAGCAATCCTGCGTGGTGCTGGTGGAACAGAGCAGTTATTGATGCCTTGCAGCTCAGCAGCGTTCGTCCTCTCACCTTGGGCTGCTCAGAAGGAAGATCCCAAAGCTGGCATTAAGGCTGTAGTGACTTGAGACTCTCTCTCAAGGGAAAAGAGGAGCTGAAGCTCGATGGATTTGGCTGCATCACCCAACAGGGATCTGATGCTGCATGGGGCCAGCACTGCACATCCGTATTTTTCTTCCTTACTGGAAGGGAAATGCAAACTCTTTTGGGTATAGCGGTGTACAAGCCCTCCTACTGGGGAAAGGAATCACAAAAGTGAAGTGGTAAGGAAGTTCTTCCTTGTTATTGGAAAATGTGCTCATTTCCAAATTAAAGACTTCTACCTGCCATGTGCAAACTCTACTCTTATTCCCCAGACTGGTTTTTGCTCACCACTAAGGTCAGATCCAGGGAAGCTTGAAAAAAAATTAAAAAATTAGTTACTAACAGCAATGTATCTAGAACTTGAGTTGCTTCAAGCCCTCTTCCCTCCTGCTGCTTTCTCTTTATTGCTGTGCCCTCAGCTGGCTGCTCTCAATCACATACTTGTGGAAATATTTGCTCCAGGTTGATTTCAAGTGGGTGGAAAGTTATGGCTGAAACGTGTCTGCCTGTCTCCAGGTTGGTTATGCACGGGGGAAGAGAAAGCCAGCAATAAACCCCCCTGGCAGAACAAGTCCTGGAGCCAGCCCACATTCAATCTAGCAGTGGTTTTTCCCTTCTGTTCT